AATTAATTAATTAATTAATAAGTTTGTTTGATTGTTACTTAAATAGAAATATTGCGTAGTGATACATGTCATAAGCACGTTTGCTAAGAATCTCTGACAAGGACACGACATATCATGTTTTTCCTGCAAATCTTAATCCATATTATTTACATTTAGTGTATTCATTTTAAATTGAAAGTCGCGGGTGATCAGTCTAGGTTAGACTGAACTTTCACTGCATAGGCTTGTATAGGTCATCCAACTTTGAAATTGGAGAATCGAGTGCAAACGTTTTATTTAGATCATGTGTGAACACTATTTTAGTAATGGAATGCACGCACTGGTTTGAATAGCCGACTACCGGAGCGATTTGTGGGGCTCATCACGTGCTGTTCGTTAATATCATCAACATTGCAAACTCGTCCGATGTTCGTGATTGACACGCAACGTCAACGGCCCATGTTTTCCAACATTTCGGCAATATGACTGTACGTTTCCAGGAGTCCATGGTAAAATAAGTAGAACGTTTACCTACAAACATTTGCTGTTATATCAAATGGATACTCGGGGGGATTATCTTGGTTTATATATATCAACCAATAATAATTATGGATAATAATGACGTATTCGAACAAAATATACCACGTGGTACAGAAATTCGCAAATTGTACATTGACCAAAGCCTCAGTTACAGGCAACTGTGTATTGAAAACTAATTGGGTTTGCACTCCCGTTAAAATATAACAATATGAGGCCAAATATTGATGTTTTTTGTCAGATCCACCATTTTTTTATTTAACATTTTATGAATTTAGAGATAAATAATGTCAATCAAATGCACCAATAACAGTTTAATATCATAATTATACAACTACCCTGCACGTGTGATCTTGATACATTTTTATTACAACTAATCCAGATGGCACATTCTTATATATTGCATCCACTGGTTCTTTATTTTGGGGACATAAATATTAAGTTCATTATCAATGACACGTACATATTTAATCTGTGACGTTTTGTTTTCTTAGATTGAAATTAGTCCAATGATACGGTAACCGATTGTGTACAACGTTATTGCTATTTCTGCTTTGTTATGCGCGCAGAAACGGAAATCATTGAACTCAACTCAGTAAAAAATCAATAAATATTGTTGTGTCTAATTATTTATTTATTTATTTGTTTGTTGTTAAAGGCGGAATGCAGTTTTTCCAGTGCGACTTTGAAGCTGGCGAGATATGCGGATTAACTCAAAGCATGGATGACGATTTCGATTGGGAGTTGGGTGCAGGTTCAACCCCAACTGAAAACACAGGCCCTTCATTTGATCACACTCTTGGAACTGCAACAGGTCAGACATTCCAAAATCATCTTTCAAACTCATATGTGTGTATTCCCGTTGCTTAGTAACTGTCATATACTATTAATTTAGTGTATTTTTAATGATAGGTTACGTTCCAAGTTTCATGCCCATATGCAAATACATCGAATTCCTAGCAGAAAATGTCACTTTTCTGTAGGTACTATCGTAGAACACGTCTGCAGACAATTTGACTACTAGTAATTGCTTTTTTACCAAGAAACCGAAACACCGTGATAAAAGTAACGACGACCAACTAGGCCATCTCCGAGTATATTAATATTATTTTCTAGAAGCACTGCCAATCAGATGAGAGGAGCGAGAACAAACTAAACTTTCATCTGAAGTTTTAAAATGCATAGAACAATATTTTGTTTGTGATTTGATTTAATGATTTTTTATTTTTAACTTTTACAAGTTTACAAAATTTGAATTTTCAGGTCATTATCTGTATATTGAAGGTTCCAACAGAGAAATAGGGAATAAGGCCAATATCATCACCCCGATATTAGAATATCGATCTGCACATATTTGTGTGAGATTCTATTACCATATGTATGGAGCCCACATCGGCGCACTCAATGTTTATATCGGTAACCATGGAAATAGTTCAGACCTCCTTATATGGAATATGACAAGTGAATCGGAAGATGAATGGTTGAAGGCAGATATTGACATGCATCTGGAAGATGGATACAGGGTAATTATTACCTTTTCAATTTTAGTGTTTGGAGATATTGGTGTTTATTGCCCTAGAAAGCTGACTAAGTTGTCAATATGTTAAAACAAAGTCTTCAAATCGAATTCTCCATATAATGATTTAAAGGATAATCCACGTGCCACGAATAGAACAGGCAATTCAATTTGCTACAAGAATCACGAATACAAATCCTAAGGAAATTATTATGGTCTGTTAGTATTTTGTTGTGGGCATTTTTGTATGTTATTTTCATCAATATGATATGACCCAGACAACTAGTGAATCAACACCAAACATTGCCTCAAACATCGGGGATGATGATGTAATGTTTCTGATAACATGTATGCACTTACACGTGGAAGAAGTTGTCATACATATTTCCAGCAGCATGTACACGAAGTTCTGGTGAATTAGCCTCGTCCAAATGAAGGTTTTATAATGTGCACGATTCAGATAAATGTAATACTATATGTAATGGCTAGAATATTAAGTTAATGATAACTTCCGCATTACATTTCGATAAGCTTAACGTTTTATATTTGGACAGATGACCTTTGAAGGAATCCGAGGGAGCAATTTTCGAAGCGACATAGCAATTGATGATATCATGGTGTCCCATGGGCTTTGCAGGGATATGGGCAGTACACTTAGTATGTACATATATAATACATATTGTTTTGGAATACATGACATACAGAGATGGACATGTTTTTATTTGTCCACTTTGAGTTGTATTGTAAATTATTTTTCAATGTAACGTCATAATGTTCCCTTGAAATTCACCATTTGCAAATCGCCGTAAACTAACTGACGAAATATTTGTTTGTAACTTGATGAACATGAAAAGAAAATGTGCCAGAGGTGTCATGTCACGATGAATTTCATATACAACTTTTGCTGCAATTGTATTGCTCTTTACTTATAACTAAAACACTTAATATATATATATATATATTTTTATTTTAAGCACCACCCTTGAAAATTACCTCAGCTGACGAACTACGACAAGTAATTGTTGACACGTCGAACACTGAAACACTGCCACCGAATATCACGAATGGATTAAATGAAACGGTACTGGCGGGAGCTTCAGAAACGTCAGGTGTGTATATTGAGATGTCGACTCTTCTAATTATCGTATGTTGTGGAGTGGTATTCTGGACAGTCGTGTTTATAAGTTTATGCGTGTACATTCTGAGAGACAGGAGAAAAAAGAAAAATGATGGAGTGTCACAGGAACCTTGTGATGGAACTAGTAACGGAAGTAACAATAGTGAGAATGAATTAGAAACTAGTCCCATTGATGTAACCTTTGCGAATGAAACTGATATTATAGTTCACGAGGCACACACCCATGAGAATGAACCGCGGACGAATGAAAAGACAAGGTCAGCTAAAATTGTGCCTGGCAAGTGTGATGGTATTACTCCTAGTGTTAACGCTACAGAGAGAGAAACGGATTCCCATACCAGTCCACACATAAATGAACTCATTTTAAAGTTTAAAAAATTAGAACAGGCACAAACACAGATCAACTAGTTAATTAATTTATTGTTTTAAAGAGATTTTTTAATACAACAAAAAAAGATTAAGGCGCGAACAAATACACAGGGTAAAATCAAAAGCATCATTTGATGTGTTACTGTATCTCCAGGTTCCTTATGTACAGTTTGTTTTGTCAACATTTCATTGACATCAGTTATTGGTGGCGTCGAGGCATTGTCAAAAACATAGACACGTATTTAGATCTTCTGCGTTCACCTTTGGATTGGCTATACTTTTTGTCTACATGATATAACATTGAGGTTACCTCCATGATGATATCTACTACAATAGTCACGGTTGAATGCTTTAACGGGCAAGGAATTCTCAAGAAAACCCCATTCTGTCATCGAAGTGAACAAGGCAGACTCCGTGATCAGTTCATCAATCTCATTTTTAATTGGATATACCACAGAAATATAATTCCAAAAATCTTGATTTGATGATCGCGATAAGAACCTCATCAATATCTGTGCATGTGAAAATTAATAGAACATTTAGCATCATTCTGTGTCCCAATTATTTTCCCTGGGTGGATACAAAATTGATTACATCAGTAAAGGAAACACATTCGTCAAGTTGATTTATCAATTTATTAGTAATGACCATAATAGAAAATGTTACTTTCAACTGTGTATATTTAAATAAAGTACCGTTTTTAATGTTAATAAGTAACATATATGTAAAATTATGTCCAGTGTGGCGTTATTGAAATACGCATTGCTGGTCAAAAAGTGTTTTCTTGTTTAAAGGGAAAATAGAGTATCTTAAGTAGAAACGGAAAAACAAATCATTTTTAAACCTTTAGGGGTATTAAAAGTGCCCAATTTGTTAGACTCGACATTAATGAAATTCTTACACAAAAATGGGCAACGTGATCATTAGAAGCTCTCAAAAGCCTGGATCTTTCGACATACAAGCAAGGTCCATCCTCAGAGAAAATGTAATTTATGAGAACTTCAAGGATTTGTATGAAAGACATCCAAAATAAATTTAAATATGATTATTTTAAGAGAGAACCATTTTATTTTTACAGGTTCTGTTGAGAGAAGCATGGATCACAAACGTATCTGCAATTAACACAGGACAAGTGACACACATATACTTAGTTCTGACTCAGAATGCACCAATTGGGCTCCGGGGCTTTGTCAAATGCCAAGGCATAGGCTCAACGTTTTCACACAAAGTGTATCTGGGTCGAATAGTTATTTGTAAACATTATTTATTAATTTACTTCCGTGATCCTGAAAGCAACAGAAACCTTTCTCCACTATTTCTATTATACATCATTACTCAAAGTCTGGATCGGATACCAAACGCATCTAGATTTTGCGTGTGCACGTTCCCTTCTGAGAAATAAATGCAGCGCCAACAAATATTTCAGAGAGTCCAGAAAGAGTTTGTTAAATCGATAGATAAGTGTTGTGTACAAGTATGTACACTTGTTGACTCATACTATCTAGAACACCAACTATGCCAGAATCATTAAGAACATTAGCATTTGCTGATTTTAACAAAAAACGTTCAAGTTCTAAATTTCACAATACGCTTAGAACAAAAATGTGGCATAAAACATTTAATAATTCATTTACAAAATACACATTTATGGACACAACTTTTGTATAAACTTCTACAGTTGGATGTTATTTTCACCTTACACAAGACTTACTTGGTAATACAAGAACATATTAAAAAGTAAAAAAAAAGCAACAATCATCTACTATTACATTCATCATATGTATGACATACATTATCAATACAGGAGAGAAACATACCAGCTCGGGAGGTTAATTGTATTTCTTAGTTCGTGGTATCAGTACTAATAAGGATTTATAAATAAACATTGGCAGATCAAGTTTGTTAGACTTGACTATGTGATTATACACCATCGTTGCTGGTGTATTAAACTGCAATTGGAGACCAAAGCTAGGTCATCGACCATTATTCGATTTGTGCATCTTTAAAGAAATAAAGAAAGTTCCACCCTCATTCCATTACTATTGGAAGATGTTGGTTAGACTGCATGCAGTGTGGATTAGAACAAACCACATTCCCCGCAATGCCTCTCTACCCACATGTCAACATTATCAAGATTTTATCCTATGAAATGTGAAACTTTAGTAAGCAGCTTGGCATAGAAATGAAAACCTATAATATCCCTGATGCAAGGCAAATGTGTTTCCCACTATGCAAGCTCTGGTTTCAATCGATCTCCCACTGATTCAAACAGAATGTCATGACTGTTGAATTTACATACTTGCATGTAATTTAGAGCCAACTGAAGTTTGTATTTATTTCTAGAGAATGTTCACATGGTTGCATGGTCATATCGATTCACAGCATAATGAAAACAGATACACAGCGGCGACACAGAGATCTAATTTTACTTTATAAGTAATTCTATTTAGAAATCAAAAACATTTTACACTTATGACCATATGAAAAGAATAGCTAACAACATTTTCTATATACACAAATATGGAAATCTATCTGTATTCACCAATACATGTGTATTTAGTCGAAAATCATGATAATTGGGAAAATTAACAGATACCAGATAATGAGCATAATGCCAAAAACACCAGTCAGTCATCTTCAGCTTAATAGAAGATGATGTCTATGCAAATAATGCTGTGCACATGTGCTGATCAATCATAGCTACAGTTGGCAACATACATTTTACTACTAGTAGGCCATCTGATATCGGATCGGTATAATTTCAATCAAATTAATCAATGCATGTAATAGACAAAGATGCATTTTAAAATGGCTGGCAATGACCAATTTTTGAATGAATTGGGCAATACAACGATGTCTGCCTATAATTTATAATATGCCTATAATATCTATGAGCCAAGTTTGATTAAAACAATCAATGTATATCTTAGACAAGACATATGCCATTATGAAGATGGCTGCCAATCGGCCATTCTTTGAATTGTAAACTAAAATGATTTACAAAAGGGACCTAAAATGTCATGTTTTTCTATGAATAGATTAGAAAGTTTTTATACAGAAAGTTTAATAATTTAACACGCTCTTCAACAATATTTTCACTAATGTAATCTTAATGTTATTGTGGAGGTGTTGGAGTAGCAATATCTCGCCTCTCTTCATTCTGAAATTAAAAATAAATTCATCAATAATGACAATAAATCATTGTAAATGTCCAGTAGTTAATGACATTTGAAACTTAATAACAATAACAGTAAATTTCGATCGTAATGAATAAAAAATTGTTGCCAGTCAGCTATGTTTCATAACATGTCAGTAAAAAAATATGCATTTGTAAATAACCAGTAACAGAATAAAAACATACGTATGATTGGTGAGGCTGGAAATCTATCACACAACAGCTTTGGGCAAATATATTCCAGGGTACGATGATCCTGGGTAATCTCATGTTCTAATAGTAGGTAAACAGAGCAGAGACCCTAACTTGTTATTTTGTTTCAATCACTTACCTGTCCAGCAGGTAATGGTGGAGGTGGTCCAGGATACTCTTGTTGTTCAACTGATATACTTTCACTTAAAGATTCCAAAGCAGACACCCTATCTTGTCCTTCCGTTTTAATATACGCCAGCGCCCAGTGAGGGGACTCTGTTTCATTCACGTTACTGGAGCATGACGACTCTTCCAATTCCATACCTATTCCCTGAATATCCAGTAAATGCTCCGTCGACTCCGGATTATCTGGATCACCAAGTGGAAAGGAGATTTCAGACAGTGGTTCTTCTTTAACCCTGAAAGATTGTAGAAATGTTTATAAGAAATTGAGAATGCTGAGGAATGAATCTTACAGAATGTGAGCATATCAAAGAAATAATTGTAACTGGTCACTAGTAGCATAGTGGTGGTCGCATCAGACTCATGATCAATAGACCCAAGTTCAAATCCTACCGTAGGCTGAACATCAAAAGGGTCGACCCCTACACTGGGTGAGTGTGCCACAGACTCAATGAGAAGGCCAATTCCACTGGCTGAGATTCATTCACTAACGAATGCAACTTTGGGGGAACCTTGGTTAAGGTCCGCAGGTGCTTGTGTTCGACCGGGCCTGGTTGACACCAG